CCAGAGCGTTGTTTCTAACCAACCCAGGGGGTTGTTTCCACTCACTCCTCTTCCCCACATCTTGTCCTTCAAAACCGATCTCTGAAAGCACAGATCCGATCTCATTATTCGCCACCCTCCCTCACGCCCTCACTTTTAAGGACAAAACAGATCCGACTCTAGAATCGCACACATTCTGCAACCAGACCTGCAGGTGCTGCAACTTGCCCCCTGCCTACTCCCCTTTCCAACAGCCCTCTCAGGAGTCACTGGATGAGCGCTCAAGTCCTCACAACATGGAGGTGTGATACAGGTCTTCTACAAGGATGTTCTCAGCAGACTCCCACCAAGAAGCAAACCAAAGCTCATTAACGTGAAGTGACTTTGACCACAATGCCAACAAATGGGCCCAATTCAAAACCAGGTCAATACTTCCGTTTCTGCTCCCATCGCGCCCCTCCTGACAGGCAGATCTGGGATGCAAGCAGGGGATTTGGGTTCAGGGACAGGTGGCAGCTGCCGCTGGCCAGGTCTGTGGACAAATATGATGGAGGAGTTTCTGCCCCTAATACTTGTAAGTTGTATATGATTATGAGTGATTACATGTGCATTCTGCTCTGAGACAACTGCTGGTGTGTCAATGCTCACACTGAACACACACCAAACCATGCCGTGTGTGGCGCTGGTAAAAGACCACAACAAAGGTATCTGCTGACATCAACAAAATAGCAAGGAAACATAGAGGAAAACAAACAAACAAATAAACAAAAACAAAAAAACCAAGAAACTCTCAAAACTAACACTGGTGAAACTCTAGAAAGTAGTCAAAAACCTACAGCAACCAAATAGTCAGTTGCACCAGGAACAAAGTGGCTTTAAACCAGTAGGAAAGCTGTGTGGCACCAAGACCGGCCCTGGCCACTCTTCCCCCGTGATGTGGGACCAGCCTGTCTTCTCATTACAGGGTCCTGGTTCTGGATTCCTGGGAACAGGGCAAACCTTGTTCAAGTTCTTGCAAAGGACTGACACAAGATGCTTTGTTAGCTTCCCCTGGCACTCACCCAGGGTGGAAAAGGCTGGGGGCAAGGCAAAGGAACATTGTGAGACACACAGAATTCCCACAGCTGTCTGGGCAAAAGATTACAATGAAACATGCAATAGACGTCATAAAACCCGAGAGGGAAGTTGAAGTGAGGTTTCTTTCGAAAATGAGAACGTTAAAAAGTGCTCACGTGTGTTGAGGATATTAGAAAGTCAAGTGCGTGCCCTGAGCAGAATGTGGGTTGGAAAAAACCGTGAAGGTGCAATGGCTGCATGGCGGCAGGAAGCAGAGGTGGGAGCAGACAGCTCGGCCGCGAGTCGATTCAGGGCATCGACACAGAACAAAGGCACAAAAACGTGGGTAAGGGCTTTGTGTTTTGTTTCCAACCAAATGTTAGTCAAAACACTGTTACCACACTGTTGCAAACTGGGGGAGGAGAATAATCTAATTTCAGGAGGAAACATATGAGAATATTTGAAAGGCCAGATTTCAATCACATAATCATAAAGAACAAGGGAAAGTTTGACCCAGAAATCCAAAAGGAAAGCTAGGAAACCTACAAGTACTTGTGATTCCAAATAAAACGGCACAAACTCTTAAACCAATGAATTACAGGATAAATCACAAGGAATTTACCTGGAAAATACCTGTGTTGAGTGACAAAAATTATAACCTATAGAAACTTCGGGATGTAGTGAGAGCAGAATGGGTGCAAAAGTTACAAAGTGTAAATGATTATCTTGAAAAAGAGCTTGAGTCAAGAACCTAACTGTGGCATAAGGAACTGGGAGGAAAAAGAGCGAACAACCCAAAGTTATCAGAAGAAAAGAAATAACAAAGATGAAATAAGCAAAACAGAATAAGGAAGAACAATAGAGAAAAATCAATCAAATCAAGACTCAATATCTGGAATAACAAATGACAGAGGGGACATTACAATTGACTTTATACAAAGAAAAGGAAGATTGTAGGAGAGAATCAGTCTTTAACAAAGAAAAAAAAAATTTTTTTTTTTCTCATTCGAGGGTTCGGTGTGATGGTTTAGTGTAGCCTCAATGGCCAGAGCTAAGATGATCTGAAGCCAGGAGCTTCTGCCTGGTCTCCCACGTGGGTGCAGGGTCCCAGGACTTTGGGCCATGCTCGACTGCTCTCCAAGGCCACAAGCAGGGAGCTTATGGAATGAGAAATGGAGCCGCTGCAACAAGAACTGGTGCCCATATGGGATCCTGACACGGAAGGTGAGGTCACTGAGCCCTTACGCTAGGCCCCAAAGAGCGATTCATTAACTCTCCAGAATGGCTGAAACAGATGTAGCTGGGCTGGTCCAAAGCAGGAGCCAGCAACTTCATCCGGGCCTTCCACGTGGGTGCAGGGGGGGTTCAAGCACTCGGGTCAGCTTCCATTGCTTTCCCAGGCACACTAGTGGGGAGCTGCATCGGAAGTGGAGTAGCTGGAACTCAAGCCAGCACCTATATGGGATGCCAGCAATGCAGGTGGCAGCTTAGCCTATCATGTCATGGTGCTGGCGCCATAGTTTGGGCCGTTGAAGTCTAGGACCAAGAGGCCCGATTGTTTTGGTATCTGATGGAAGGGGTGAAGGACAATGGTGCAGCACCTTTGCAGGAGGGTTCATCATGGCAAGCCAGGAAGGAGAAGCTGAGCTCAACTTGGCCCAAACATGACAATGGTCTTGTGAATGCATGTTCCCAATGACCAAGGAAGGCATACTTGGCCCACTTTCCTGCCTTCCGAAAAGAAATCTAAAAAAAGAAAAGAAAAAACGACAGCCCTTCCTTCCCCCACCCCCAGCCACCAGGTGAAGGCAAGACAAAGCTTCCCCAGATAATGGCCCCATGGGACTCTGATCAGACCTCCGGCCTTCACACTGTTCCCCAGCCCTCTTTGGAATCCTGAGACCACATCCCTGGGCCGATGGATAACACTGAGCCACTTGCCATGGATATTTTGCAACCAGCTATTGTGTGAGAGAAAGCAGTTCTCTCTGCCGATGAAATTCTACCTCCTCCAGGAAGTCTTCTGGGACTACTGGGTCAAAGGTGAGGTTTCTGGCCTCAATTCCTATAGCATTTTGTCTGGAAGACAACGGGGCCTGGCGCGATGGCTCAGTGGCTAAATCTTCACCCTGCAAGTGCTGGGATCCCATATGGGTGACGGTTTGTGTCCTGGTTGCCCCCACTTCCCTGCTTGTGGCCTGGGAAAGCAGTGGAGGGTGGCTCAAAGCTTTGGGACCCTGCACCCATGTGGGAGACCCGGAAGAGTCTCCTAGCTTCCAGCTCTGGATTAGCTCAGCACCGGCTGTCGCAGCTACTTGAGGAGTAAAGCAGCAAGACAGAAGATCTCTCCCTCTGTCTCTCCTTCTCTCTGTAAATCTGCTGTTCCAATAAAAGTTTTAAAATCTTTAAAAAGAAGACCCTGGTGTGGTGACATCCGTCAAGGTGCAGTCCTGGGCTCTCTTCACTTTCAGTACATTTTCTCTCTGAGACAGGGACTCAGGCCTCCTCCGTCCTTACCTGCACTGCTGCCTCCACTCAAGCAGGATCGGGACAGGAGAGAGGCCGGGAAAGCTGAATATACCCCAGATGGGACTTGCTCCTCCCCGTTGTGCTCCAGCTCTGGTGTTCTCCACGGAGTAACAAGCGCCTCCACCAGCACCATGTCAAGCTACTTGCCACCCACAGCTTACCCTTGGATGCAGCCCTGGTCCGAGCTGCTCCCTACTTAACTCTGGATGGCCCCAACAACCACTGGGTGGGCCTCGCCCCGTCTTCAGGGAAGCCACTTGAGAAGTAAAGCTTCTGTGTGCACCTGCAGGATCTGGCCTCCCGCCACCTTGCTGGTCCCCGCCTCCCGTCCACGCCTTCAGACAGGAGTCCCTCTGGGACCTTCTTGCCTGCCTGGACCTCATTCTGTAAAGCTCAACTCCAAACCAGTTTCCTCAGCTGGGCTTTTCCAGGCCTCCACCCTCTAGGGTGGCCAGCCATAAGCCCTGCTAGTCATGATCTTGCTGCTCCCTGAGAGCTGGGCACACCTGTTATTCAGAAGATCGCTTGGAGGATACACATCACAGTTTCACACTGTGTCCTCCAGTATCCACCAGAGGGCCTGACATAACAGGTTTGCCGAGGAGCAAAAGTGCTCAGCACAGTCCCCTTCCAGCTTTGGGACCTGTGATGCTCGGCTCAGTGGTCCTCAAGTCGGTTTATGTCATTCTTCCTGTCAATCTGTGTGAAAGCAGGTGGCACACACTTCCTTCTTTATTGTTTTATTGAGAGACTCTTCCATCTGTTGGTTCTCTCCCAAAATAGCTGGAATGGGGCCCGGCGCGGTGGCGCAGTGATTAAGGTCCTCGCCTTGCACGCCCGGGATCCCATATGGACGCCGGTTCTATCCCTGGCAGCCCCACTTCCCTTCCAGCTCCCTGCCTGTGGCCCGGAAAAGCAACAGAGGACGGCCCAAAGCTTTGGGACCCTGCACCCGCGTGGGAGACCCAGAAGAGGCTCCTGGCTTCGGATCGGCATAGTATCGGCTGTTGCGCTCACTTGGGGAGTGAATCGTCGGGCAGAAGATCTTCCTCTCTGTCTCTCCTCTCTGTATATCTGCCTTTCCAATAAAAAAATAATAATAATAAAAATAAATCTTTAAAAAAAAATAGCTGGAATGATCGTAGCCAGAAGTCAGCATCTTCTTCTGGGTCTCCCACTTGTGTCCAGAGTCCGGAGCACACGAGCCATCCTCTACTGCTTTCCCAGGCCGTTAGCAGGGAGGGCGACTGGAAATGGAGCAGCCAGGACTCAAACCAGCGTGCGTGGGGGTGCCGGCACTGCAGGCGGTGACTTTAACCCGGTACATCACGATGGCGACTCCTTGCTTCCACTCTTACTTCCGAGTTCCAGGGACCGGGAGATGCGCCTCGAGCAGCTGAGGAAGGAAGAGCGGGGCGCGCGCGGCAGGGACCCACCTTGCAGGCCCTCCAGGCGGAAAGTGCGGTGCTCCACGGCCAGGCCCACCGCGCTGTAGGGTCCGTAGCGTATGGTGACCACCGCTTTCTTGGGCATCGCTCGCACTCTGCCGCCTCCCGGTCTAAGTTGCAACACACGCTGCTGCTAGGCAACCATTCTCCCTGTGGGCTGCGGAGTGGGCGTGGCCCCCTCTCGGGGGGCGGGACCGAGGACGGGGCGGAGCTGAGGCAAGTTTTGAGGTCCCGCCCCCAGCACACCCACCCTGCCCTGGGCCGGAGCAGCATCTCCAGCAAGGGGGTCGGGTGCATACCCTGGGGCTGCAACCTGGCGCGTTGGGTGTTTACAAAACCGATGCTCACAAGTGCCAAGTAGCCTTACCCAGCCAGGCAGGGGTACAAAAGTTGATTTTGTTCCCTTACTATCTAGGTTATTTGGAGCAGACAACAATTCCCTTTAGAGGTGCTGGACTCCAGGACACCCCAAACTCTGCAAAGACTAAGCGATGGTAGCTCACCCTCTAAGCTTCCTGTTCAAGGTCACAGAGAGTCTTGGGGCGAACCCCCCTTCCCCTCCTCCCATGCATGCTACTCTCAACCTCTCCTTGACCTCGGACCAGTGAGCTTTTTCATGCTGTTCAAGAAAGATCTTTCAATAAGCGTGCATACCAGAATTTGAAAATGACTTCTACTGGAGGCTTAGCCTGAATGAGCTAGTATACTCTTTTGTTATTTATTTACTTTTTTTGTTATTTATTTACTCCCATAGCACACACTGCTTTCCCCTATATTAATACAACAACAGTCACAAGTCCATTATTTTGCCATTGAAGTGTATCATGAGCTAGCCTGACCCACACATCCCCTTGTTGAGAGTTTCGCTAGAATGACTGAGGTATTTCTGAGGTTCCCCTGTTTGTGAACTTGGAATACCCCTGTTTTGTTCACCAGCGTCTCTCAATATAGCTTAACTTGCATATGGTTTGGTCTTATTAGCTGTATTCCTTGGTGCTCTTGAAGTGGTGCCTTTTGAATTGTGACTTTGCTGTTTATGGCTGCTGTATAAACTGTAATTGACTCCCATATTGATCCTGTGTAAGCTGCTGCTGCGACCTTATTTATTATTTCTGTGAATTTGTTTGCAGATTCTTTGGGGTTTTTCTTCCTAAACCATCACTTTGTCTGTAAGCCGTGACAGTCTCATCTTCTTTATTAAGTCCCTCCTTCATTTGTCTTCGTCCTGTACTGGGAAGAACTCTATTGCAGTGACGGATGGAAGTGGTGAGAATGCATGTCATCTTTCCTATATCCTGACACCGGAGGGACAGTCCCGACACTGCCCTGTTTGGGAGGGTGCGTGTTGTAGGATTTATGCCGATGCTCTTGCTCAGAGTAAAGCCTGTTCTTTTCTAATTCTGTTTTATGACGAGGAGTTTAAAAATTAAATTATGAATGAATGGTGAGTTTTATTGAATGCATTTTAATGATTAGAGTGATCCCATTATTGTTATTGTTCAAGTGGCTCATGAGTAAATGCCATTTCGTTGTTTAACATTTCTTTCATTGATTCATTGATGAGGCCGAGAAACAGAGAGACCCCAGACCAAGCTCCCGTGTGCAGGTCTGCTCCACAAATGCCTGCAAAGCCAGGACCTCAACGCCAGCCGGGTCTCCCGTGTGGGTGGCAGGAACCCAATGTCCTAGCCACCACTGCCGGCTCTCAGAGGCCTGACGTTGGAGGAAGTTGGCATCAACAGTTGAAGTCAGAGGTTGAATACAGGGGATCTAATGAGGGACATGATGTAATATTTCTTGGCAGTGTATGTTGTTCCCTAGGTACATGTTGGTATTTGAAAGCCACCTCTAGCCCTGCCTTTGTCTGGAGAAACCCTGGCTTACAAGCATCCAACATTTTATTTCTCCTTCTTCTTCTCCTCCTCCTTCTTGTTCTTTCCTTCTGGACAAGAGGAGAGGGGTCCCTTGAAAGCCCACTACAATGTTTCTTCAATTCGGGAATATTCTTAGGAGAACCTAATTAAGGCTGCTGGTCTGGGTGTGGTCTGGTACACCTGTGTCTCCTGCCTACTGCCATGCTCTGGTCATTCTGGTCTTTCTTTGGAACTTGAGTCTCTATTTAACAGACTCTCCCTTTTGGTGCATCTGCTTCTGTGGGTGGCGGAGGGCCTTCTGCCCCCCAACCCAGCCTGCTCTTTACAAGAAGCCTGGGTTCTGTGGAGCTAGGAAGGGACAGAACCAAGCCAAGAACTTCTAGAGGAAGCAGATGGTGGGGAGAAGGAGGAGCTGGGCCTGGAGGTAAAGGAGGAGCAAGGATGCTAGGCAAGTCCTTTTGCATCTTGGCTTTTCCCAGGGATGGTGGTGTGTCTGTCCTGTGGATGTAAAGGGAACACGAATCAGGAAGGTTAGCAGTGGTGTCTCACTGTCTCCAAGGAGAATGGTTCAGGGGTGATTTGGGAAACTGCTAGTCACCAGAGGGACTCTTCCCTATCTTTGTAGGGCTGCCCAATGATGTGTGTGTTGGGGGAACTCCTGCTCTGCTCTTGGAGGTTTTACAGCCCCCTTGCCTGGGACTTACGTGGCAAATCAATGCACACCCTTACCCCTGGTGCCTGTTCCCTTCACCCCTCCTGGGGCATTCCTGGGCATCATCTCACATTTCTGTTCTTAGGCTCTGGTGAGAGAGCATTTGGGCTTCTGGTAGATAGCAGGTGCCTCAGCTCCGAGGCAGCAGTTCCACAGAGTTCACCCTAGCTTGGAATGGATCTGCTGACTGAGTGCGGCCAGGGAACTTGTGCCCTTGCAGCAAAAGACTAGGTTTTCAATGTCTCCTTTTCTCCATTTTCCAACAAGAGCCATTGCATGTCATCTCACCACATCCCTGGAAGGGGCAATGTTGCCACACTCTGGCGCCTACACCTGTTGGTGCAGGCTCAGTAGAGATGCCCATCTCTGCACCCAGGGTTCTGCCACTCAGATCCCCAACACCCATGAAACACCCCTGCCCTTGCTCCCACCTTCGTGGTGGCCTGCTGTACACAGAAAGAGACTCGGCTCCCCCCTTTCCATTTCTCTCCTGGCCTCTGTGTCTGTTTGAAGTTTGTATATATTTATGTTTAATGAGAGAAAGATGGTGTGTATGTAGGGCAGAGTGGAGGGATATCGTCCATCTTCCATCCATTTCCTGCAGCAGCCAGGGCTGGGCCAAGCTGGAGCTGGAATCCTGGATGGAAGTCAACCAAGGTCACCCATGCTGGAGGGTGGGACCCGGCTTAGTTATGTCCTTTACCTCCTAGGGTGTGCATTAACAAGGAGCTGGATAGGAAGTGAAGTGGTCTCCAAAGTCAGGCCCCCTGATATGGGACAGGGCGGTCCCAAAGGGTATCTTAACTATTGCCACTGCCCACCTCATGGACCATTGCTGCTGGTGGGACCCAGATGTAGGCCTATAAATTATGGCTTCAGTTCCCAGAAAGTACAGCTTTGCATGGTAGCGCACTTCTGCATAGAAACAATGGTCGACATCTTCTTCCTCAGCTTTGTTTTTATTGGCTATACACTTCCACTCTTTAAATAATTTACACATAGCTTTTTTTCAATATAGAGTTCCTTAATCATAACAGACATCTCTTTACAGCACAAAACTATAAATTAAAATTAAAGGGCTATAAATACACATATACATATGGCCATAAATCTAGAACTATTTTATAAAAATAGAACTCAACAATTAATTGTATAGATTTTGGCAATTCAGCAGTATTAGAAGATGGCCGCACATATTCTACCATGCATCCCCGTTCCCAGTGACCATCCCAATGTCCTTCTCTTTGGGGACACAGGGAGCAGCCTCCTTTACCAGGGTGTCTCTGGGGATGCCCATGGCAATGGCTCAGTTTTGCCTTGGCATAAAGATGCAGGGTACCCCCTGCCCTTGGAGGCGGAAGACCAGCTCCCAGCCCCTTCCTCTGAGAGGTGTCCCCTTGTGCCTTGGCAATGTGGCAGAGCCAGAGTGGAGTGCTCCGAATGCTGCAGAGCCCAGTAGCTTAGGAAGAGGTGGTCTTCCCAAAACTCCCCCGTCCTTCCGCCCAGAGCAGTGGAGGGCACTGGCGGGGGGCGGGGACATGACTCATGCAGTTTTCCTATTCTGCCTTCCCCCACACTGCCTTGCCTATCATAGCCACTCAGGGCATCTCAGCCTCTCTGTCCCTCGTTAGCAGGAGCTGGGGCTACACAGGGCCAGTCCCTCCTCCCCGGCCTGCTTCCTGTCCCCTTCTGTCCTTGGGGCCCTTAAATAAAACAACCAAATGGTCAGGCTGTCCTGCTTGGGCAACCGCCCTCAAATTCTGAAATGAACATTGCCATGAATTTCTGTAAAATCTCACTCTTGGAAATACACAAAACAAAGCAGGCAACAGTAAGACGAACTCCTAGGCAGTCCTCTTTTTCCTCCACCTTATTAGAGCATGGTCAGGGGGCAGGGCAGTGGGAAAAGGGCAGAGAAATGCAAATGGAAGGACTCTAGGGGCATGGTCCACTCCATCCTGTATCTGCACCTGTCCCTTTGATGACCTTGATGTCACTTGAGAAGCAGACAGCTAGCTGCCAGGACTCCTGTGGAGTCACAGGTGAAATACTGTGAAAAGCCTCCACCCCCTTTTGGAATAGCTATATATAAGATTGCCCCGGGAAGCCAAAGGAACAAAATGTTTGATAGCCCATATCACCATCAGTGAACTTGGCCTGTGGAAGGTGTGTGCAAGGGCAGTGGGTTGCTTCAGGGGAAGCTATGTGGTCACCCTGTGATTCACTGAGGTGCCTTGCCTGCAGTGGGGTGACTCATCCTCTCACTGGACACGCTGGGGCCCGCTGTGGGGGAGGAGAAGGGGAGGAAATGAGAGGACCACGGAGGGAGCTCCCTGCCTCACTCGGGCTGCCTCTGAGCCAGTGCCCAGAGTGGCAGGCACCATGATAAATATTGATGATTCTCATGCATAATGGGGGGGCCATTGTTGGGTAACATGCCAGCCCCATGGAAGGCTTCTGTGTGCTCTAGGGCTGGGTCCTGAGGAGCCTGGGGGTGCTGCAGAAAGCTAGGGTGAGGGACCACTGTAAGCTTTTGGAGAGGCTGGGCTTGGGGACAGGCAACCTAATGGTGATTGGACGTCAAGGTCAGTGGCCCTGACCGTGGTCTTGGGCCTTCTTCCTTGGTTGCAGGTGGCTGGCCTGGGGCAGGCTGTGGTGCACTGCAGAGGTTTCTCATGTCGGCCAGGCTTGCCTCCATGGCTTTGGCAAACTCCGAAGAGGATGTCTCCTTGCAGCTGTGGAAGCTGGAGATGCAGAAGAGGATGGCTTCGGCCTGTGGGTTGTAGCAGGCCCCGTAACCATTGGGGACCACAGGACCGTAACAACAGAACATCTCCATGGTGGTGGGCACCTGCAGGAGAGGACAGATCAGCAGCTGCTTGTTTGGGGACACCACCTGTGAACCTGTGTGGGAAGGCAGGGCATTGGTATAGCACAGGGTTCCACATGAAGTTTGCTTCGCCCTGCTCCAGCTGCTGGGGCTCTGGCTGCATTCTCCAGATCAGCCGCTGCTCCTGCATGCATGGACACAAGCAGGTTCCTAAAAGCAAAACTGGGGACAGTGGTTGTGTGGGAGCAGGCCCCTTTTCGCTTTTCGGCCGGAGCCGCCAGTTCCCAGGGTGACCAGGCTGCTGGGTCCTGGGCTGAGGCTTCCCCCGGGGTATCATTCCAGGAGGAAGAAATGGACTCATTTACTAAATGGCACCCCGGGTGGCCAGCAACAGAGGGGTTGGGTTCACCCCGGAAGGTAATTTGTGAAGTTGAAGAACTGACTTGTTGGTTCCCCTCAGGTCCTTAATTACCGTCAGCGCCGCCTGGCTGCATTCCACGGATTAGCCAGGCACGATCACCCAGGGCCGTGTGTTGCAAAGGTTGCTGGCGGTGGAATTTTACTAATGCGCCTGATATGTTTGCAATGGACAGCGCCGAGATGCTGTGATCCGGATCACAAGCCAGGAGAGGCGGCTTCTGAAGGCACGGGAGTTACAAGTGCTACTTTGGAACACAAGAGCTGCCACCATCACAGGTTAAAAAAAAAAAAAAATCCCACGCCTCCCAATCAATACTGGACAGGTGCAGGGTGGAGTGGCCCTTTAGCTCGCAGGTTCCCCAGCACTGTGGTTTCACCGTTTGGGGAGGGGCCCTGGTCTGTCTGTGGCTGTGGAACCAACCATCCGTCTTGCTAATTGAGTCACAGCCCTGTCAGATCAATTTGCCTTGCAAGAGCCGAAGGCCAACCGCCCATTCCGAAACACGTTTTGCCCACGGCTGGCTTCCTGAAGAGTTGATGCTGGCATTCTGCCCTTGCTGCTTCGTGTCTGTAAGCTCCTGGCCAGTCGACCGGTAGGACAAAATCAGATTACTGAGTGGGCTTTTAGCCTCTGGCACAGCAGTATCAGCCCCTCCATCACCCACATGCGGCTGCGGTCTGTGCAGCGGCTGTAGTCAATTGGCGATGGCAGGGGTTTGTCCCCTGCTAAGTGGCTGCTTCTCTAATGGATTTTGTTCTGTCTGTAATGCTTTGGTCCCAGCCAGGCCCGGACTGCAGTGCTGGCTAGCAGGTGCCTGGTTGGCAGCCCACCCTCTGCTGGGGCCAGGGAGAAATTGGGCATGGCCTGCTAGAGTCAAGCCCGGGACCAGTTTGGAGCTCCTGTCTCAGGCCAGTTGGGGGTCTGTAGATCACTACCATTAGTGTGGTGATTGAAAGCTAGGGCAGGTGTGATGGTTACAGTGCTGCACTGGGTGTGTTCCCATCGGCCTGTCTCGACCTGGGCCGGGGTGAGATTATGCCCTCATCGAAGGTGGCAAGTAGGTGCTCTGAGCAAGGCTCCCCTGAGGCCTCTGTGGGAACTGCGTGCAGGCGGGGGCCGTACCTGACTGGTGGACAGGACAAACCGGTTGCTCATCAGATAGGTCTCGTCTGTGAACATCTCTGGCGGCTCCTTGCACAGGTCGCGGGCCAGCTCTCGTAGTGCCAGCAGGTGGTTATCAATGGCCATCCCTGTGATGGCCTGAGCCATTGGGGACAAAGAACAGGAGATGAGGGCCTGGTGCTGTAGGGCAGTAGATTCGGCTGCTGCCTGCAACACCAGTGTTGGAAGGCACTGGGGTTGAGTGGAGTGGCTGGCAGTGGGGCCAGGGCGCTGATTATATGCTTTTCAAGTAAATGCAAAATAAATTACAAAAGGAATAAACTAGGCAATGTGAGAATATTGGGAGCATGTCCCTTAAGAGTTGTAAGAACAGCTCCCTGGTAAATGAGATAAGGCCCTTCGCAAAGCATCTGGCCCCAGCCCTCCCACCTTCTACCCATCGCTGCTGCTCAGTTAGAACACAGCCTTCCCTCCAGCTGCAGGACAATGTGGGACCAGGTAGCCCTTGCCATGCAATGCCTCCAAGCCCGGCCCCACTGCCACCTTCCCAGCCACCAGAGCTGCTCAGCTGCAGGTGTGCTGTGACAGTGGTACAAACTGACTCCAGCAGCCCTCATCTTCGCAGCCCCACGGGTACCCTGGCTCTCAACGGATGCCCCCAGTGCCTGAGCCATCCGCTGGTCCCTGAGATGACCTCCCTGAGCGCTGGAGGCAGCTGGTACCATCTGTCCTACAATTCTGCTGTCACCTCCATTCTTTTCCCTCTGCCCCACTCCACGGAGCCAGAGTGAATGACAGCTAACCCTTGTGCTTAGCCCTGAAGTCCCCACCCTTGCGTTATGTCAGGCCCCGGGCACAGCCTCTCCGCTCCCCTCATCAATGTCATCCAGCTTCCTGCTGGCCTCTTGGCCTGTCCCTCCAGTCACTGCCAAGGGTGGGTGTTATAACAAGATAAGCCACATCTCCCACTCCCCTGTCCCTGCAAATGCTAAGTGTCCCTCCATCCTTCAGGCTCACAGTGCCGCTTCCTCCAGGCAGTCTTCCTGACAGGGGAACGCAGCCAGCTGCCCTGTGCTCTCCAGGGGGCTGTTTTCATACAAGGGCCTTCTCCTTGGGACTACAGTGGATCCTCCAAGGATGACGTAGGTACACCATGTGTGTGTGTCATTATGCAACTCCCAGGGCCTTGCCAGACATAGAGCAAGAAAACAAGCCACTCAGCAAGCAGTGACTAGTGAGAGGCTGCTTCCTTTTCCCCAAGAGAGCAACCACTGGACTCTTCAGAAGAGTTGGGGGTGTAGCAACCGAATGAGGAGGAGGTTGACACCAGCCAGTTCTAACACCCAGGCAGGCACTGCACCTGCTTTCCTGTAGAGACAGTGGAATTCACTCCATCCCTTCTCCTACTTTATTCGATCTTTCAAAGATGGAAAAGACTTGCAGATAATATATTGATCTCCGGCCCCAGCGGGGGCTCCTTCTCCATTGTTTGTATGCAAATGAGGGCTCCGCAGTGCCAGAAAAGGAATGATTTCTCTAAACCAGGGAAACATTCCTTTGACAAGTTGGATTTAATTATGAATTCTCAGCTGAGACCTCCTTCTCCATAGGTAGTCTGTTTTGACTACCAGATGATGGAGCCCCAGGTACAGTTCATCACAACCACAACCAGGCAAGTGTACAGGGTGCAACTGCGCTGGCCAGCCCTGAGCCCCGCCCCCTCACCTTGGGCCTCTACTGTTGAACAAATGGCTACCCAGATGGAAGGGGTCTTTAAAAAGTTTGTGGCACTGGACCCAGTGCCATGACCTAGCGGCCAAAGTCCCCATGTTGAACACACCGGGATTCCCTACGGGCGCTGGTTCTAATCCTGGCAGCTCCACTTCCCATCCAGTTCCCTGCTTGTGGCCTGGGAAAGCAGTCTAGGACAGCCCAAAGCCTTGGGATCCTACACCCAGGTGGGAGACCACGAAGAAGCTCCTGGCTTCGGATCGGCACAGCTCTGGTGGTTGGGGTCGCTTGGAGAGTGAATCAATAAACAGAAGAACTTCTCTCTCTCTCCTGTATGTATATGCAACTTTCCAATTTAAAAATAAAATAAATCCCCCCCCCCAAAAAAGATGGCCCAAAGCTTGGGATCCTGCACCTGCATGGGAAACCTGGAAGAAGCTCCTGTCTTCAGATGTTGCAGCCACTTGGGGAATGAACCAGCAGAGGGAAGATCTTTCCATCCCTCCTTTTCTCTATAAAATCTGCCTTTCCAATAAAAATAAATAAATCTTCCACAAAAAGAAAAAGTAAAAAGAGAGAGACAAGGAGAGCTCCTGTCTACTGAGTCACTCCCCAGAGCCATACACAGCCAGGACTGGGCAGGGCCAAAGCCAGGAGCTAGGAAACCAACCCAGCTGGTGGCCTGGGAGCCCTCACTGGGCCCTCTCAACAATGTCTATCTTAGTAGGAAGCTAGAATTGGGATCATGAGCTGGGACCAAAACCCAGGCACTCCCATGCAGGCCCCGGGCATCTTCACCTGACACATTAACCCCTGGATATGTCCTCCAAGCTTTCTGAAATCCGACCCCCTCCTCCTTTTAGTTGCTATACTATTACCACGACGTTATTGCAAAGGGTATCAAATGCTGTCCACATGTTTGCAAAACAAAACAAAACAAAACAAAACAGGAAGACATGGACGTGCGGCCCAAATTCCTCACGGTGGCTCTGAGAGGGGGTGTGACCTCGCCAGGTCCAGGGTCCCGAGGTGTGGCCCGGCTCTGGCGGGCTGTGGGACCCCCACTCACCATGACGGTGTACTCCGTCTGGGCGCGGATGGCGTCTCTCAGCAGCTGCAGCTTCTCCTGATCCTGTCCATCAACAGAGAGGTGGCACTTGAGGGAGAGGCTGCTTGGTGCCCTCGCCATGGTGCTCCCAGAGGCTCAGAGTCCGACTCACCGGAATGTCAGCCTTGTGGTCCACCACGGCTCTCACAAACGCCAGGGCCTCCGCGGTGGCCGATCGGATGTTGTCCACGCGGCCCTCGCGGAAGCGGCGGATGGACGCACTCTCGTAGGTGGGCACCAGTCTCCCGTGGAGTCTGCGCGAGAAAACGGATGAGTGGCAAGCGGCCATTCATTCTCCACCGAGCGTCATCGATGCGGAAAGAATAATGGGCCCAGAGGGCTGCATGTGCATAGCCCAACTCTCCGTGGCCGTCGTATTTCATGCTAATGGTTAATAGGCATGGTGGAGGGTTCCCAGAGATAAATGCTGGCCAAGGTTCGCCTGCGCCTACAGCTCCGATGCTCTGCTGACTTAAAGACATGGTGGCTGGTTGCTTTGAAAAATACAGATCTATTCCCCATCTGTTGGGAAACCTTGAATTTTCTGAGATCTGATGGGTGCGTCTGATGAAGAGCACAAAACGGAATAATTGTACAATTAATCACTTGTACCCGGGGAGGAGACCCTGTTTTTCAGCAGTGGGAGTGTACCCTGCACCTTCCCTCCCAAGGGCAGTGCAGGGAACTACGGCTGTACCCTACCAGCCAGGACGGGCTGATGTGGGTGAACTGGGCCTGGCTCAGCCCCCTCTCTTATGTCCTCTCTCTTCCCCACCCCCACTGTTTGCCAGCTGGTAGAAGTTCCTGGCATTGGGGTTGGGATGGCAAGAAAAGCACAGGGTCCAGAGAGGGTGAGAGGCGGCCCAGAATCACCCAGCCAACCACAGCCCTGTGCCTCAGGTCTGTCTGGGCAACCCCTTTCCATGCCAGGTGGTCCTCCTGCAGGGGGAGGCCTGGATCCGGGTGTGGCTGGGCACAGGGCTTGATGTGTGAGTGGGTGACTCAACTTGGTGTGCACACCTGTCCTTCTGCCCAGCACTCTGGCAGGGAACTCCTTTTCCGCCTCCCTGCGGGGCCCCAGACGCAGACGCTGCTGCACTGAACCTGGGTGCAGATGCTGTCCCTTGCCCAGCTGGCAGCTGAGCAATCCCAGGGCTCCAGCCAGAGCTTCAGTCCAAGGCTGCGGGCTGGGGAGGTGTGTCTCTGCCCCCTGTGAGCTCTGGGGGCAGGCTCCTAGAGTCAGGGTGAGGTTGGCCCCTGTCCCTCCTGGTGCCTGCTTGGGGCCTCCCTGTGAGGCAGCAGCAGGAAGGCTCTGGCCAGATGTTATCCCTCCATGCTGGACTTGCCAGCTTCTCACGTCTAGAGCCCCGTCAACTTCCAGTCATTGTACATCACCTTGCCAGGCGTTTAAAGCCAAATGCCCTTTTCGCGGTATTCTGTTATGGCTATAGAAAATGGACCAAGAGGTCCCAGTTTTAGGTGGCTTCGGCTGAGTCCAGGAGCAGACGAAATGTTTATGTGGCCAGCACGATGACATAGGAGGTTGTCACCACTGGCATTGCTGGCTTCCCACGTGGGAGGGCTGGTTCGAGGCCCAGCGGCTCCACTTGGGATCTAGTTCCTTGCAGCAGATGATGGATGAACTGCTCGGGTCCCTGCTACCCAAGCAGGAGACTCGCATGGAGTTTCAAGCTCCTGGCTTCAGCCTGGTCCAGACACGGCTGTTGTGGCCGTTTGGGGATTGAGCTAGCATGTGCAAGGTACCTTTCGCTCTCTCTCCTCTCTCTGTTTATCTTCCTTTCAACTAAGTTGATTTTTTTTTAGGATTTGTTTTTATTTGAAAGGCAGAGTTACCAAAAGAAGGAGAAAGAGAAATCTTCTACTCACTGTTTTACTCCCCAAATAGCCTTAATGACTAGAACTGAGTCTATCTGAAGCCAGGAGCCAGGAGCTTTTACCTGGTCTTTCTGGTGCAGAGGTCCAAGGACTTGGACCAGCCTTTATTGCTTTCCCAGGCCATATGCAGGGAAGTGGAGCAGAGTCTGGTGCCGTAGCCTAGTGGCTAAGGTTCTCGCCTTGCACACGCCAGGATCTCATATAGGCGCTGGTTCTAATCCCAGCTGCTCCACTTACCATCCAGCTCCCTGCTTATGGCCGGGGAAAGCAGTCGAGGATGGCCCAAAGCCTTGGGACCCTGCACCCAGATGGGAGACCTGGAAGAGGCTCCCAGCTTCAGATCGGCAAAACTCCAGACATTGCGGCCACTTGGGGAGTTAATCAAGGGACAGAAGATCTTCCTCTTTCTCCTCCTCTCTGTATATCTGACTTTCCAATAAAAATAAATAGATCTTTGAAAAAAAAGAAGAAAGGAAGTGGAGCAGCCAGGAGTCAAACTGGTTCCCACAAAAGATGCTAGCACCACAGGTGGAAACAGCCTGCCACGCCATTCTGCTAGCCTCTCAAATAAACTTTTTTTTTTCTTTAAAAAAAGACAATTGTTTATGTATCTTTATTAAGCATATCCAAAGCTTTATTAAGAAAATGGGAAACAGAAATGCTGATTAAAGCTATGTAATCATTAGACACTTAATTTCATGTGCCCATGAAATGTAGAATTAAAAAAATAATTAGGGCCTGGCATGATGGCCTAGTGGGTAAATCCTTGCCTTACGTGTGCCAGAATCCCATATGGGATCTGGTTTGTGTCCCAGTATTCCACTTCCCTTCCAGCTCCTTGCTTGTTGCCTGGGAAAGCAGTCGAGGATGGCCCAATGCCTTGGTACCCTGCACCCACATGGGAGACCTGGAAGAAGCTCCTGGCTCCAGCTATTATGGCCACTTGAAGAGTGTGAATCAGCAGATGGAAGATCTTTCTCTCTGTCTTGCCTCTCTGTACATCTGTCTTTCCAATAAGAGTACATAAATCTTAAAGCAATAATTGGAAAAAAATATCATCAACTTAAAAAAAAAAAACAGTTAGTTGTTACTGTTCAGGCACTAGAAGGCTGTCCCTGGGACAGTAGACACTCTTCTGGCTGTGCAGGGAGGCTGGGGGCTCTGGCCACACCCACTCCTTGCCAAGTCCAGCACTCCCTGGGTGGTGCTGGGCTGGCACCTGCTCACAGCTGCACGGGTGCAGCAATTGGCCTGGAAGGTTCCCAGGTGGACACCTGGCCTGGATGCTTGGTCATGGTCATGGGCAGGCCCCTGCAGCCTCAGGCGCGGTCTCAATGGATGGCAGGGCCTCTGTGATCCCTTCCCCAAGGGTGTGAGGATGCTGGGAGCCCATGCATGCACACAGACACACAAAGAGCTCAGCCTGGCCTCGAAGCTGTGAAGAGAAACATGACTGCCCACGTCCTTGGCTTCAGGAGCTGGTACCACAGGATCCAGCCCTGTCTCCAGGGAGATTCAGCTCGTATTTTGTTGCTTTTTTTGGTTTGTTTTTAGCTCCTTATCAAAGGTCAGTTGGCCACCATCCCTTGCCTTCAGTCCTGCCTGCCCTCTCCTCCACCCCTTCCCCCTTCACACCAAGCTAGCTACCTTAGAGATGTCTAAATGACAGAGATGGCTCACCTGTAGAAGGCCAGCTGGAGGGCCACCTGGATGAAGGCATCAGGGCTGCACTTCTGCTTCTTGATGAACGTCTTCCCATAGCCCTCGAACTTGTACACAGCGAAGTCGAGGTTCTTGACTATTCTGTGGGAGGGGTGCAAGAGACGCTTCTGTTTGTGTGGCAGCATACACACGCCTCCAGGACCCGGTGTTCTGGGGAAAGACATCGCCCTTCTGGGGATACCCTGAGATGGTCAGCAACATGCAGTATGTGTCCCAGGAAAGCGGAGCGGGCATCCGAGAATCTGGCTGCTGTGAGCGACCTGGGGAGGCCAGCCCAGCGAGGAGGTGAGAAGATGGGAAGTGGCCTGGCTATTCAACCCACAGAGAAAATCCTGGGATCCCACTTGCCCACGCAAGAGGCCATTGTCTGACCCCCGTGGGGAGGTGTGTTGGGAATCCCCAGGGGAGCCTTGGTCACCCTGGCCACCATAACTGAGTTTGTCACTCAACAGGTACCTATATCATCTTTCCACCAAGACTTGTTCCTGGGGCCGGGTGGTTTGTCACCATCACCCCAGCGAGGGCAACTCATCCAAGGGCTGCACAGCCATCTCACCTCCCAACTGCAACCAAGCCGGGGCCTTTGTCATGGGAGGGATCCCCGAGGGGAGGCCGAGGAGACCGCTCTGTTCCTCTATCATGACCTTGGGGTCCACTCTGACCACCAGAGCGATGCCCAGCAAGGTCCATTGTCCGGCCACTGGCTGTGCGTGACACGGAGATGAGCAGAGCAATCCCATGTCCCCTCACATATCCTCTCTCTCCTGGAACTCTATCACCCTGCCTAGGATTGTCCACTCTCATGTCCCAGCCTCACTGCCTCCTGCCAGGCTGCCCCAAGCCTACAGGTGTTCTTTGTGCTCCAGGGCAGGCTCTGGCCACAGCAAATGCCCAATCTTGATCATGCTCCCACATAGCTGGTCTCCAGCCCTGCCATACGCTGCTTCACCATCTGTCTGCACCACGAACTCCTGCCCGTGCTTCAGGGTCCTCCCTCACTGTCCTGGCACAGCTGAGCTGCTGGTCGTCTGCAGCATGCTGTCTCACTGGGACACTTCTCCCATTCTGTCACGTAGGATGTGGTAGAGAAGCAGAGGGCAGGCCTCCAGTGGCACATTCCTTCAGGCCTCCAGCCCCCAGGGACTCTGGAGCTGCACACCGCTAATAAGTGACTGAGTGAATGAATGGATAAATGCATTCATGCTCAGTTATGAAGGAATGACTCATGGTCTAGACTCGATGGCCAGCCCATTAGTGTCTCCCGCTGTCCCTGGCCTACCCAGTGGGCTGTGAACCTGTTTTCAGTCTGCCTGCCTGGGTCCCATTTGGACCTGATGCCCTACCTCCCCTGGTAGGGGGACGTCCCCCAACCCCCAGTTGCAGTATAAATTCAAGCAAATTGAAGTGGCTCGTATTCAAATGACTCATTCAAAGCACCTGCTCATTGCTTTCCAGAGCAGGAATGACCTCCCCGGCCCTTCAGTCAGGTGAGACCTACAGGGGAAAAAACAGAGCTGCCCGTTTGCATCTGATGCAAATGACGGACACTTGGGCGAGGTGGTTTCCAGGGGCAGTGGGGTGTGGTGCCACCCGGCCAGGGGCAGGCTGGGATCTTTGGCTGGTCAGTCACTTTTTTTTTTTCTTACTGTTGAAGCTTCTCCGCTGAGGAGGCCAAGTGGCCTTGGATTTCCGGGGAGCACTTCCACCGCAGCCTCCTGGGGGCCGGGAGCTCACTGACTGAGTCTGCGCGCACCAGCTTCTTGCCGCTCTGCATCCTGCAGGTGCACAGGGGGTCAGTGCCCAGGGTCCTGGCTGCCAGCAGCTTTGCCTGTGCGGTCATTGCCATGGCTGCTGCTGTGTGCAATCACCATGGACCATCATGGTGAAAGACCCGCTGGACCCCGCATGCCATGGGGAAACCCCCTAGGGAGGTCACGGCAGCTAGTGAAGCAGCTGAGCTAGGATTCCATCAGTCATTCCCAACTCCACCATCTAAAGGTACCTTCTTTCCCGTTTGATGCTGTTACCTCGCTGGCATCTTGCCTAACTCGCTGCAGGTGGTGTTTACAAAGGCTGGGTTCTAGGATTTCAAAGTGGTTCATGCAAGAACTTGAACTTGGAGTGTGAGGGGAGAGGGGGGCAGAGAGAGCGAGACATCCTAGCATGAGATGAGCCAAACTGTGAGCAGAGGCAGGGGGCACGGGAGCCTTCAGTTAGGGCCAGCCAGGAGGAGGCATAGGTCTGGGAGTGGAAAAGGGGTGATAAAGAGACCCCCCTGTGTGCTAGCCAGTCCAGACTCAGGACCAATGATCTTGTCTGGCTCTAGGCTTCCCTGCCTAAATGGAAGCAGATGTTCTGGATAATTCCATGCCCTGCCTTCCCCCCCCCCCCAACCCACCCTCAATGGTTCTATGCTCAGGGACATGCCTCTCCCCACCTCCCCACCTTTCCCAGCCCTGCTCCCCAAGGACCCCCTTGAGTTTCCTGCCCCTCACCCGGCCCGCAGCAAGATGATCCCCAGCTCCTGTGGGCCTGTGCCCTGCCCCTCAGACTCACATGTGTGCCAGCAGGTGCTCCGTGCACTGTACCAGGACGATGCCGTCAAACGGGGAGTGTTCACACACCACGCCGCATGTGCCGTCTCGGCCCACCACAAACTGCCGCGGGAGGAGGGAGGTGAGCGGGACCCTGAGGGAGCTGGCTCCAGGGACCCTGACACACAGTGACCCTGAACACACATGCCCCCATTTCTGCCACTGGAAACAGAGCCCTGGGCACAGCCGCTGTGGCCTGGCCATGTGACAATCCCAAGACAGTAAAGGCGCCCTGCAGCCCAGGGTGGGTGGGGCTGAGTCAGGGACCTAGCTGGGATGTGGCTGGCACGCAGCTGGGACAGCCACGCAGCTGGGACAGCCACTCTTATCTGTGGCCAAACCACTGCGGGGATGGAAGGGGGATGCCCACCCACTGCCACGTCCATGTCCTTCTGTCCCTGTCACTCCAAGGCAAGAGGAGAATGGTGTCTTTAAAAAACTGTTGCTGACATGTTCCTGCGTCTGTGGATACACTAAGGTGGACCTGGTCAGCCAGTAGACCTTGGAAGGATTTTGTCAACCCTGGAGCAACAAAACTGACAATGCCTTGGGGCTATTGAAGCCATTCAAATAACACGCTCAGAACACTCTTTCCCAAATGGAGGTCTCTGGGGTGTCATCAAAGGACCGTCCCCCATCCCTTGGTGCTGATGTAGTTTGACAGCGAGGAGCACCCCCTCCCCCTCTTCCCTTACAGACAGAGGAGTAAAAAAAAAAAAAACTCAAACATGTGTCAAGCACCTATCTTTCTCCATACCTGCCCCTTCCCACCCTAATCAGAGGCCCACAGGGGCATGTGTCCCTCTCAACTATGTAACCAATATTAAAAATAATAACATTAAAAAATAATAATAAAACAGGGCCTGGCGTGGCAGCCTAGTGGCTAGAGTCCTCTCCTTGCATGTGCCGGGATCCCATAGGGGTGCTAGTTCGTGTCCTGATGGCTTCACTTCCCATCCAGCTCCCTGCCTGTGGCCTGGGAAAGCAAGAGAGGACGGGCCAAAGCCTTGGGATCCTACGCCCACATGGGAGACCCAGCAGAAGCTCCTGGCTCCTGGCTTTGGATCAGTTCAGCTCTGGCCATTGCAGCCACTTGGGAGTGAATCAGCAGACAGAAGATCTTCCTCTCTGTCTCTTCTCTGCCTTTCCAATAAAAGACAGAAATACATCTTAAATAAATAAAATAAAAACTGCTGCTAAGGACCAGCATGGTGACACAGTGGATTAAATTGTCACCTGTGATGTGGGTATCCCATCTCAGAACACCGGTTCTAGCCTCATCTGCTCCACTTCTGATCCAGCTCTCTGCTCATGTGCTGGAAAAGCAGCAAAAAATGACCTAGTGCTTCGGCTGCTGCACTCACACGGGAAACCTGGAAGGAGCTTCAGGTTCCTGACTTCAGCCTGGGCTAGCCCTGGCTATTTGTATTTTATCAGGAGGGGATCGGCAGATGGAAGATTTTCTCTCTCTTTCAAGTAAATAAAATTAATTCTTAGGGGTGGTGGCTAAACTGACTAATCCTCTGCCTGCAAGTGCTAGGATCCCATATGGGTGCTGGTTCATGTCCCAGCTGCTCCATTTCCCACCCAGCTCTACTTATGGCCTACATCTGGCCTGGGAAAGCAGGAGAAGATAGCCCAAGGATTTGCACCCACATGGGAGACCAGGAACAAGCTCCTGCCTTTGGATCAGTTCAGCTCTAGCCACTGGACCATTTGGGGAGTGAGCCAGTGGATGGAAGATCTTTCTTTCTGCCTCGCTCTTCTCTCTTGAATCTTCCTTTCAGGTAAAAGTGAATAAACTTTTTTTTTTAAAATCCTTAGAAAAATGAAAATGAAGATGTCTCCCTTAGCTAAGTTCCAGGTCCCGAGAACCCAGTGTACCATTTTATCCCCACATTGAGCAGCCCAGTACCATGGGGGAGGCTGCTGCAGTCAGCCCAGAAGAAATACAACCCACAAGCAAAGCAAGAAGATGGGGACCACAGGCAAAGGGTTGGACAGGGCACGAGAAAACACAGGAGTTGTGCAGCGAAGCTGGCAGAGTGGACCAAGCCCATACCAAGGAGGGTGGTGGCTCCCACGCTGTTTGACATGGCCATAAAGGCTTCACCTATTAACGTGAGTGGGCTCAGGGTGTGGGCAGAGGGAGGAAGAGAGGACGGAGGAATGGGGCCTGACTTTGGTGTCACTCCTGACGACCAGGAATGTCTTCCTCCAAGCCTACTAAGTGTTCTGTCTCTAGGTAGATGTCGTGTAGATGGAAATATGCAAATTTGTTTCCTCTCTGGCGATGCTCCCTCCCCTCAGGGATGGCACTAGGCCTTGGGTCACTGAGTGCTGCACCTGACAGGCTCATGCCCCAACATGCACCTGCTGCTCTTCAACATGGGACTCAATCCCAGCTCCTGGCACAGGCTGCAGGGAAGCCTCAGGGGACTCTGATCAGGTCTTGGCCCACACGCTCTTATGAAGAGTCTGGGCTGGGCTCCCTGCATAGGTGTGCTGGCTCCCAACACCATCCGTGCTAGCTCTCAGCTTGGTGCCGCGCTGGGGCGTGGCTACACTCTGGCCAACTACACAGCGGGACTGCTCACCTGCAGGGACTTGTCATACCAGCGGTTGGCTCCATTCTTGCTGCAGCCTCCGCCGTGAAGCAGTTGCAACGCCCGGCTGGTGTCACTGAGGTCCCCGCCGCTTGGCGCATCCAAACACACGAGGCAGATGCTGCGCTCAATCATGTCCAACGAGTCCCGGTTGGTGGAGTCTGAGGGACAGGCAAGCACAGCCTGAGCCCCTGGCCCCTACCAGGCAGCCCTGGTCCCAGTGCACGCGCATGGAGGAGAGAAAGATCTTGAGCCACCGGCCCTGGCCTCCTAGTCAGACGGGCTCAGCCTCTCTTTTACCCCAAGTGGTCTCTGCCCTGCCCCCACCTCATTCCCTTTCACTACAGCCAGTTCTATCCCTAGGTGTGCAGCCTGCTGGCCCTGTCCAAAGAGGATGCTTAGACTTCCAGTCCAGCCATTGCCAGGAGAGTCCCCATGCCTCTACTCAACAGCACCCTCCACTCTGGCACATGAGCCCCATCTGGGCATGTGCACGTATGTGTGCTCTGAACCCAGACTCTTCATACACTGAACTCTGTCGCTGATATTGGAAAACGAGCCAGTTGCATATGGAAACCAACCTACAGCACAGCTGGGTTTGGGGTCAGAGGCACAGCTGTCATGGAAGCAACAGGCTGCTCCCCTTGAACCTGCATCTGGATGAGCTCGGAAAGATTCCTTCAGGCCGTGTGTGGGACACATGGAAACAGAGAGGCCTAAAGTCTCCATGTTGTGCAGGAGACACGTCTCCCACGCCCCCTCCCACCGGGAACCACAACCCTCATCACCAATTTGCTTCTCCTGTGAGTCCCTGGCAACCCATGGCATCCTGGATTTCTCCTACAGGCTAGGGTGTCACAGCCCACACATGCCCCAAGGCCAGGCACCCCCACTGCACTGCAGCAATTTAGACAGGGACAGCAACTTGTGAGACCCTGTCAACTTGATCCCTGCACTCCTGGACAGCAGGGCCAGGCCAGCCAGGCTGCCTCGGACAGCTCCCTCCACCGGGCAAAGGGCAGCTGGGCCGGTGTGCTCGGCAGCACCTGGTCATGGCCATGGCTGCTGCAGCTGTCTGCTCCCTTCTCCTAATTCCCGTTCTGCCATGTGCAGCTGGGTGTAGAGCTGGATAACCTGCCTTGTGGTTTAACGATCACCACCATGGGGCTGGTGTGTGGCACAGCAAGTAATACCTCTGCCTCCAACTCCAGCATATCATATAGATACCAGTTTGCATCCTGGCTGTTCCACTTCCAATCTAGCTCCCTGCTAACATACCTGGGAAACCAGCAGAAGATGACCTGAGTGCTTGGGTCCCTGCCACTCACTTGGAAGACCCAGACGAAATTCCTGGCTTTGTACTGGTTCAATGTTGGCCATTGTGGCCATCTGGGGAGTGAACCTATGGATGGAAGATCTCTCTCTCTCTCTCTCTCTCTCTGTAACTCTGCCTTTCAAATCAATAAATTAATCTTGAAATAAAAAAGATCACCAGCATTGAAACCAAAGTTTGCCACCTGGGTTTGCGATGCCCATGAATGTCAAGCAGTCCTGATGTGAGCCTGAGCCCGGGGCTGGGCACAGGGGCAGAGGAGAGCACTGAGTATGGCACCTGCGGGCAGCATGCACAGGGCCCCCTACTCCTCCTTCTCTGAGCCTCTGGCTGGCAGCCGGGCATGTGTCCCAGCAGCTGGAGCTATAGTTCCCGGAGCCCTCAGACCAGGGGGGTTACCAGCTGCTTCCTGTCTATCAGTAAGATCTCTAGCTCTCTATGACTAGCTTCCGGGAAATGTCTTTCAAGGTAACTAGCATTTACTCTTTGCCCCTCTCTGCCTACTCCCCTAGCTGGCAGCCTGGAGCACAGGTGCCATGGCTGGAATGCTTGCTTCCCTAAGCAGCTAGGGAACTCCCTATGGAGGTCAGTGAATCCCTGAGACCCTCCTGTGGGACGTGGATGCCAAGGCTACCGCACCTTGGTGAGTGTTGACAGCCCTGGCTCAGCATCTGCAGGGCATGGGCCACAGCTCCCCCACGCCCACAGTGGGCTGGCAGTGGCCTGACCCAACCACGGGCAGGAGACTGACAGCTTGGTCCACTCCTTCCCAGATGGGCAATGTGAGAGTGACAGCAAAAAAGGACAACTGCGCGGGCATCAGTGCCTTGTCGACCTCTGGGCAGCAGAGCAGGGACCCTGAGGAGGGGCTGAGGCCTGGTCATCACAGGCAGGCTGTTCGGGTGGAGGGGCGGGCAGCAACTCCGCAGGACCCGACAGGAGTCAGGTCCTGGCTCATTAGCCAGCGTGAGATGGGAGCAGGAGAGCAGCGCTGCTGGGCCAGGTGGCCTTGCAAATGAACTCCTGGAGCATCAGCACCGATGGGGCCATTGCTGACAAGTTCAACGTGTAAGGCAGAAAATGAACTGCACCCAAACTCAGCCACTGTGATGCTGGCCCCGAGGTAATGGGAATGCAGGGCGGGGGTGCCGGGGGGGGCGCACGGCAGGAGCCGTTTGTCTTGCAGCGTCTTCAGCCAGTGCACCGAGGTGCACTTAATGCGGCCAATCCATCTTCCTTAAGGAGCCCCTGCACCACAGGGAGAAGCAGGGAGCTGAGCGCTTGGAGGGGCTCGCTCCAATGCCAGCCCCGGGCCTTGAGAGCTTTGTGGTGGGGCCACCAGGCTGTGCGGAGTAGCCCCAAGGGGACCGCTAGACCAGGCTAGAATCTAACAGCTCGTGGCTTAGGCAAGCCGAGACAGACTCCCAGCGGTTCTGCCTTTGAGAGCTGCAGAACTTACAGCTGCTGCTCCCTGACACGCACACCTGAGCATGACACACACATGCACACGCATATACAGACACACATACATGCAAACATGCCCATGTACATACATACAACTACACACATATACACTGAAACGCATACATACACACAAATATATGCACTCACAAACATGGACCTACACAGACACAAACACACATACAGACGCATACACATACATGCATGCCCACACTTATACGTACACATGCCTACACATATACATACAGAGACCTACACAGACACAAACATAGACACACACATACCTACACTCACACACACATGCATACACAGACACATATACACATAAATACACATACATGACACCTGGAGACATAAACACGCATACGGATATGCCCACACATACAAATCTGACACAGAGAGTTACACTTGTACACACGTGCACAGACACATAGACACGCGTGACTATTCATACTACATGCAGACACACACATACAGATTCAGAGAGACCCACATGCACACACACATACAGACACACTCTCATTTCCCTCTTACTCCCCCAATGGCTGCAGTGGTTAGAGCTGAGCTGATCTGAACCAAGAACCAGAAGCTTGTTCCAGGTCTCCCGTGTAGGTGTAGGGGCCCAAAGACTTGAGCCATCTTCTGCTGTTTTCCCAGACCATAATCAGGAAGCTGAATCAGAGGAGGGGGGGTGGCTGGGACTTGAACCAGTGCTTGTGTGGAATGCTGGTGCTGCAGGCAGAGGATTAGCCTGTTGAGCCATGGTGCTGGCCCCAGGACCAGTGTCTTAATGTGAAGACACAGCAAGAGTGTGTGTGCCTTGAGAAAAGGCCTTGGGAGGTGGAACGAGAAGGCAGCAGGCCTCCCACCAAGGACAAAGGCCTCTGAGAACCCAGTGCTGCCAGTACCCGCGTACCTCGGGGACTACCATCCCAGAGCTGTGGGAAGCAAGTGACTCATCTGTCAGCTGCCTAGTCTGGGATATTTCATATTATTGGCAGCCTAAGGAAATTAATGCACTTGGCACTTTTAAAATTTAACACAATCCAGATTGGGAACAGAAGGTGCCAGCAACTTAAAATCTCAAATGGAAGGGCGAATGCAGTGGCAGACTAGACTAATCCTCCACCTGCAGCACCGGCATCCCATATAGGCAACCAGTTCGAGTCCTGGTTACTCCAATCCATCTCTCTGGTATGGCCTGGGAAAGTAGCAAAGAATGGCTCAGATTCTTGAGAACCGCACCCACACGAGAGATCCAGAAGAAGCTCCTGGTTCTTGGCTTTGGATTGGCTCAATTCTGGCCATTGCAGCTATTTTGGGAGTGATCCAGAGGATGGAGGATCTCTCTTTCTCTAACTGAGTTAGAAGCAAAATAAATGAAAAGATAAAACCTCAAGATGGGTGTAGATATAAATAAACAACTCTTACAGGAGCCTGCTCTTTCTCTCTGGGAGAGGGGCACAAGATACAAAGCTGTAGAGAGCAGCTCATCCAGTTCAGCTGAATAACACAGGAAAAGCTGGGTCGCACTGCCCATATCCCTGTGTGCCCCATTCCACACTGGCAGCAAACCTTCGGTCTGCTGGGAGACATCTCCACTTTGGGAGAAACAGAGAAGTCAGGTTTTCAGGCAGAGGCTAAGACCTCTGTCTCCAGTGAGTGACAAAGCAGCCCCCGGCCGCCAACCCACCCCAGTGGAGCATCCACAGGGACCTTACAGGGCCTTGGGCCACTCCCCTCCACCCTGCAGTGTTAAGAAGTACCCTTCCCCAGAGTGTCCATGGAAGCCACACGAAAAACCTGGACTTGACCTTCCTCTGGTTTTCCCAAAGCAGCTCCAGCCCTTTGCCTGTTACAGCAGGAGCAGAGGAAGTTGTTACCAGGAGCCAATCTCATATGTGGTTTCCATAGGAAATCATTCATCATATCTATAACTAGGAAAATCCCAACTGGAAGGGGAAAAGATAGCCAATACTCACCAACAGTGAGATGCAAGAAATGTTCAAAAAAGGTAATAGATATTTGCAAATGGATCATCATAAAGGATTAGCATGCTTGAAACAATAATGTGGAAAGTTCTCAGCAAAGAAACAAATTCTGTGCCAAACGAACAAATAGAAGTGCGGGAACTAAGAAATACTCTAACCGATATGAAAGACTTAGCGATGGACTCAGCAGAGAAATTTAGGGGGCCTAGAGAAGAATCCACAGACTTGAAGACGGAAATGAGCTAATTTGAACAGCACAGGAAAAAAAAAAAAAAAGAAAAGAAAAACCTGGAGGAAAAAAATGAACCAATTTCACGGACCTGAGAGACAAAAGAGCTAACACACTCATAGCGTCAACTTGCCAGGAAGAAAGCAG